TAAATCAGGATTGAAAAAGTTCAATGTGGGAGGTTGACTGATTAAAGTTTTGAATCTTTTATAGCATTCTTGATGTTCGGTATCCCAAGACCATTTATCTTTGTTTATTATTTTATATAGTGGATCTGCCAGATCCGCAAAACTGTTTAAAAATTTACGGTAATAGCTCGCCATGCCTAAGAAGGTAGATAATTCTTCTGAATTTTTTGGTTCCTGCATATCTATAATTGCTTTTATTTTATCATCGTTGGGATGTATACCATGTTTGTCTATATCATGTCCCAAAAAGCGTATTTTATCTTGCAGGAATAAACTTTTGTCGAAATTGGGGGTTAATCCATACTTGATGATCTTTTCGAATACTTTTTTAATTTTCTCCAAATGTATCTCATCGTTATCACCTGTAATTAACAAGTCGTCAATGTAGAATATAACATCTTTTAAATCTCCGAAAACCTGTTCCATAGTCTGTTGAAATATGGCTGAAGATGTTTTCAGTCCGAACGGAAGTCTTGTGAATCTGAAGTATCCTTTATGCGTGGATATAGTTAGCAAATCTCTAGAGTCTTTGTGAATAGGAATTTGCAGGAAGGCTTGTTTGAAATCAATTTTACTAAATTTTTTTCCTCCAGCTAACTTAGCAATCAAATCGTTAATTCTAGGTATGGGGTATTTGAAATCTTCAAGCGCTGGGTTAACTGTATCTTTAAAATCGGCGCACAATCTGAGACTCCCATTGTTTTTAAAAACTGGTGTGACTGGACTCGCCAATCTAACGTCTTTTACCGGCTCGATGATCTTTTTTTCCAGCCAGGTATTTAATTTTTTAGCTGTAATATCTACTCTAGAATAAGGTACCCTTCTCGGCGGTATAATTTTTGGCTTAGCATTTGACTTTAGTCGTAATCTGATTTGAGTTTTTATGACAGGTTTATTATTTAATTTAGACTTACAATTGGACATTAATTCCGCCAAATCATCTTTATGATCCGTGTCAATTAAGCCTATGAATTTTTCAAGTATGTTTTTAAAATGTTTTAACCAAGATCTTCCTAATAAAGGCATCTTGTTACTGTTTACTATCAATGCATCTAAAATTTGAGAACTTCCTTCGTATTCTACATTCAGTCGTGTTGAACCTATCACTTGTATGGTCTTGCCGTCATAACCAGATAACTGAATGTTGGACTTCGTAATGTTTTTTATGCCTACTTTCTCAATCATAAACTTTGGTAGAATTGTGAATTTCGTGCCCGTATCCACTTGTAGTGAAGTCAAGATGTTATTAATTAATTTTGATGTTCACCATGTATGCGTCATCTTTGACATTTTGTACTTCGTTTTCTACGTTATTTATATAAATATTTAATAATTTATAATCTTTCTTATCGATTGATATGATTTTGTCGTCTTCGATCTCTTCTATATCAACTGTATTAATTTTATTTGAATAAGGTATTTGGTGTTTAGGATTATGATTCATGTAATTATTATTGGTACGATCGTAAAATTGTTGATGCACGTTGGATCTATTGTAACCTCTAAAATTTTGAAACGGTTGTCTGGTGTTGTCAAATCTATTGTGTTTTTTGAAATCATTAAAAGGCTTGTAATTATTATTATGTCCTTTGTTGTTATTATTAAATCTATTATTATTGTTATCTCTTGTGTCGTGATTATTGAAAGGAATACAAGAAGTTTCCCATCTATTTTGATCATAAAATCTATCATTGTTTCGTCTTGGAAAATGATAGTTATTTTGGTTGTTTAATCTTTGGTTGCCATAATATGGTCGAGTCTGCCATGGTTGTCTAAACTGATGGCTGTAATTTTTATCATGATATCTGTTGCTCTCAACATATGGCATCATCTGAGAGTTGTCATAACTAATATTAATTAGTTTTAGTTCATAAACTTTCTTATCTTGTCTTGCTCGCTCCAAATGTTTTAGATCTGAGTGTGTATTTTCTTTGATAAATTATGTATTGTGGGAAATTGTCTATTTAAAGAAAATAAAATCATCATACCTAAAGTTTTAAGAAAATCAATACTACAACATTTACACGAAGGACATTTGGGTGCTGGCAAAACCAAACATTTAGCTAAAGAATACCTTTGGTGGCCTCGAATTAGCAATGATATTGATAACGAAGTAAAAGAATGCAAATCATGTAACATTTGGGCCGATAATCCCATTAATACACAGCATCCTTGGATGTTAACGACGAAGCCATTCGAAAGAATACACATTGATTACGCTGGGCCATTTTTTAACAAGTACTGGTTGCTTATAGTAGATGCGTACAGTAAGTTTCCTATAATCACGCCTGTAAAATCAATAACCTCGGAATTTACAATAAAAGAATTGATGAAAACAATTAGCTTATTTGGTATTCCAGAACAAATAGTTTCTGATAATGGCTCAAACTTTACAAGTCAACTGTTTAAAAAATTTTGTAGAGACCATGATATACATCACTTTCAGACTTCAGCTCACCGTCAACAGTCAAACGGGCAAGTTGAAAGGATGGTAAGAACCTTTAAATCACATATGAAGAAGTGCATGGAACAAAATAACATGGACATAGATAACGCTTTGGAGAAATTATTGGGATTTATTAAAATATAAGAAAAACGACGACAACACTTCGTTCACAGTTTTACCAAAAAAATAGAACGATGAATATTGGAGAAAAATTTGGTATATAAATTTTGGAGTAAACAAGTGGGATGAAGGCGTTATAATTAAAAAAGAAAGTAACATGTTATTTCAAATTCAAACGAAAAATAGTATATTAAGGAGGCACTTAGACCAACTTAAGAAAAGATTTACCACTGACTAAGTATTAATTCATGACCAAAATACTTTGCCAACGATTACATTTTACAAGGAGCGAAATGTTTCTGAACAAGTAAAAGATTGTACAGCCGACATTACGAGGCCTAACCGGAATAGAACATTACCCGCACAATATCAAGAATATATTTTAAACATAAAAGATTCACGTCCAAGAAGAATTTGAGCGGAGTTTGTTTCTTAAGGGGTGAAATGTTGTGATGTCCAAATTGATCGCTATCTATTTAATAAAAGATTGATTTTTTTTGTTCTTTATAATAAATTAACTTTAACCTCGCGGACTCGTTTTATAAAATTAACTCAATAATTCGATATAAATTACTTGATAGATTTTGTAAACTATATAAACTTAGAAATTTATTGTACTTACCAGTGAAAATATTTTTAAAATAAATTTATTAAATAAAAGATTTTATTATCACTTTCTTAATTTTGTTCTTCTCCCTGCCAACCTTAACATGGTGGCAGCCCCTAGGAGGCGTGGGTTCGAATCCCACCGCTGCCACCATGTTAAGGTTGACAGGGAGTAAGGAAGATAAGACAAATTCTTTTATTTAATAAATATATTTTAAAATGTTTAACTACAATATCACTAAAAAAACTATAATAATTTTATCATTTATATATATAAGCAAAACTATTAAATAATTAAATGAAACTATTAATTTAAGTTAAACGAGACTATCAAGTTAAGTTAAGTTAATATAAATGGTGTTAAATGAATGTAACATATAAAAATTTGCGCATTATAATAACCATTATAGTAAAATAATAATCCATGTTCAACACATATAAACTTTTTTCTTTAAAATAAATTTTGTATATTTAAACCTACTGGTGGAACGACAAGAAAGAGATTTGCCAAGGCTATCAAGATTAACAAGAAAAATATTGGCTATTCCTGCAACTAGTGCTTCTTCTGAACGAGGATTTGGCATTGTTGGAAGGTTTTTAGAACAAAGAAGAACGTGTTTGAATCCAGAAAATGTCGATTCATTATTGTTTTTGCATTATTATTTACATATAATATCAATTTTATATTTATATTATTGTCATAAATATTTTATTTGATTAAATAAATTATCTATAATTTAAATTGAATATTTTTTTATGCTTATATTAATTTCCTAAAAACTGTTTGTAGAGGTGTAATGCTGAATTAGATGCTTGAAAAATTGAAAGAATGGCCATAATTAAATTTTATAATAGCGGCTTAAAATTTTTTTATAAACAATGTGTGGGCGGGTTTATGGTCCTCCGCCCAATGCAGACCTCTAATTCGAACCCCACCGAGCTCCGGTCGGGCTACGGACAACCCGTATACCCATATTTTAAAACTGGCATCTTACATATTTATGTCATAATTGGTTGTGTTGATTAGTGACAAATAAATTTCTAAAGACCATATAGACCTCATTTTGCTTTTCAAACGTTTACAATATAACTTAAACTTATATTATTCCATAGGTGTCTCCAGAATATTACTAAGGTGGTGGGGGGGGGGGGGGGTGAAGTACTATTATGTGGGGTTTCTTCCATAAATTTTATTGGAAGTCTTTTCCATTTATTGTATGGCTATATTATATTTTTATAAAAATAATTTTGGGTTTTCACTTATTTTTTTTTATAAATTTTCTATTAAATTATAGTCATTATTTTAAATTAACTTTACTAATTTTTCTTTCAAATTCTTCTTTACGGTAATATATTGCATATATTTTTGATGGGATGGGGGGGGGGGATTTTATTAACTTAAAATGATATTTACGAAAAGAGGCATATTTGCGATGGGGTTACTCTTCTATATACCATTATTATATATTATTAAATAGATCGAAAATATGAAATACTTTATACTAAAAATTAACCGCCTCACCCAAACCCGTCCCGTAAGAAATAAAAGAAATTTGGGGTCTGCCCTATTAAATACCAACTCATAAAATATTTTTTAAATAAGAAAATCAAAAATTCATTTTTTAATATAAGTGGAAAAGGTTAAAATATTAATACCTGATGACCATGTCGCATATTTATTTTATACTTCAATCTCCCAATTATTATTTCTTAAATAAAATGATACCTATTTTCATTAAATAAGTAGCTAACAATTTTTTCAATATAAAATTAACTGAAAAAAAATAAGGCTTCCCCCATCTCATAAATATATTGCCATCACATAGCGCTCATTATAACCTTGACAGCCCTAATCGCCTTACTCTATCACCTTGCAATAAAAATGCAGTTTCTCCTATTAGCAACACTAAAAGCAGCAAAAAATCTATTACTAGTAGCAAAGGTAGTTTTATATAATTAATAATAATATGAATATTTTATAAAATTAATTTTTTTTTTTTTATAGAAATTTATTGCGTAAGAGCCCATCTTTCCCAACCCGAAAATGTTTAAAATGATGAAATAAATTTAGAGGCTTTCAGCACAATTATTCCCCTCCCTGGTGAAGCAAATTGTTTAAAATACTCTTTAAATTAACAATATTGCACGCTAAAGATTTATAATGTTTTGCTCAAATTTATTTAAAAAATTTTTTTTTAAAAAAGCATCACCTAAAATTATCGCGCCAATCAAAGCTTGTATAAGTGATATCGTTAAAATGGATAAAAATGATAAAAGTCATAACAGAAAATCTAACGTTTTTAATTTTTATGGTAAATATAATCCCTACGCTAGCGGGAAAGGCTTATCTAGCTGTGCAACAATAAAGGACGCGAGTTTCACTTTACATCAAATCGGAGAGGGGCAAGATATCGATGTGATTATTACCGGTATAATATCAATATATTTTATTCAGTCTCCTGACTTTAGTTTTTTATTAGTGTTCTGTTAAGATCAAGCCTTTATCCCATCTAACAGGATTAAAAACATGCCCGGTTTTGGTAGGGCGTTTTAGCTTCTTTGCTATAGAATTGATTTGCTATAAAAAATTGAATTATTTAGATATAACAAAATTAATTTCAGATTTTGAAATTTTGTCAATCTCAATTTTAAAAATTTCCAGCCTTTCCATAATGCTTTTAATAAAAGATCCTTTAAAAAATCATATTTTTTTTATATATGTTATAATTTTGCTACGAAGGTCCTAAGAATTCTCTCATCCCTTGTAGGTGCTATTACATTCAAAAGGACATTTATAACGTGGAATATCGACCAGAACAAATTGGTAAAATAAGGATGAATGAATAAATTATACATTCGATTTCACTTAAAATATTACATTTAAAACGGAAAGAAGTATATAAAGATGGAAAAAGGCGAAGGAAAGATATAAAAAAAAAAATCCAAGGTTCTTGACACGGGTTCGGGAGTCGAGATTCTTTTCTCTAACGCTTACCTAACCTTGGCCCAAAATATTTATTATGAACCCGGACCTAAGCCGATTTTATTCTTGAACTCGGGTTCAATCGAGTTTAAAGATTTTTGCCATTTTATGATTGATTTCTAACAAAAGTTTAAAATATTAGGTTATGTCTAAACTTGATTTTTTTTTCTTTTTACTTCTAATGGATTAAGATACAACTGTTCTAACCTGATTACCGTGTTTTTCAAATTTTTAAGGATTCAACTCTTTTGGATCGACAGAACTTTATTTTCTATATACAAAACTTGAACTCGTACCGATGGGTTAAAATTTTCTCCAATCCTGAACTCGGAAAAAATCATTTTAAAAGCCTATATTTTCAATTAATTATATTGTCAATTGTGTGAATCAAATTTTAACTTCCGTCAGATTATGCACTTTCTCATTTATTTAATTTAAAAATGTAAAATTTGTTTAACTATAAAAAATATATATTATTTTGTTTATAGGCGAAAACAAAATAGACATATTGGTTGACCATTGTAAAATAGATGGTAGTCCTTTCATCAGTTACGCTTACGATCCGCAGAAGGTCAAAATACTATCAAAAGATAATTCTAACTCATCCTTTTCAGTTACCCTAGGGGAAGATTTGGATATATATGGTAATTTATTGCTAGAAATATATTGTTTTAATATTATAATGATCGTATTTGTATACTAAAAATTATTTGATTAAAATGAAATATTCCAAGTTGATTGTACGGAAGCTGGTCCCGCCGAACTTAAGGCTAAGATAAAAAGAAGATGCAAGGATAATATACTGATCAAATGCAAAGATGAATATTCGCTCAAAATTCTACCAGTCTCTTCTAAAACTATATCGATTTCAAATGAGATATCTTTGGAAGGTAATCAAAAAGCCGTGAAGTTTAGACCGCAAGTTAAAGGGAATTTTTTGCTTTCACTCATTTACGGGGAACATTTAATAACCGGTAAACTTCGTTGAGTATATATATATGAATTCATATTTTTATTCATTTTCTTTGCTCGGTTTATTTAAAATATCTCTCATTTCATATAATTTCAAGCCTAAATTTTTTCCACATTACTTTTAGACCCACCGATCAAGATCATCGTCAAAACAGATCCCGATTTTAAGTGCATTTTTGAAGGCGAGGGACTAAGTCGAGGTAGGGTGGGCGAAACTTGTAATTTTAAAATTTTTATTAAAGAGATTCTCAAGAATGATAGAGAACGTACATTATCTTACACTGGAATCTCATCGGTGTTTACTATGAAGCCTCAAATTATGATTGAAGGTGATAATAAAATAATAATATTTTCTTTTAAAATTAACATTTTGAACCCATTTTTTTTAAGGTCCCAATTCATTGCCCCCTTTTGAACTGGTATGTCAAGGCGAAAATGCATATTCCGTTTCTTACACTCCCTCAGAAATCGGGAGTTTCAAAATCAATGTATATCTTAACGACGTATTGGAAGGTATTTTTTGTTGAAATTTAATTTTTATTTATTCAAATTTTCTTAGGATAATAAATTGGTAATATCTTAAAACTAAAGAAAAAATTTGTTTTGTACCACATAAATAATTTCCAAGAAAAGATAAATATAATACCTTAAAATATTTAGGCCCCTTTAACGCTCTGATATGCGACTTAGAAAAGGTTAAAATCACGATTCCCCCTAATGCTTCGCACAACGCTACTTCATTCGAAACTCAAAATGACAATAATAATTGTTTAATTTTTACTCCCGATGAGTATACCAAAATATTAGTCGACGCTAACTTAGCCGGGCCAGGTAAAATAATTTTTAATGTCAAATTAAAATGTTTCCCTAATGTTTTTATAAATATTGTTCTAAAGAATAACACCAAATTTTTTTTGATTTTCTTTTAGCGCTATACAATTTTTCTTCTTTCCTTAAAATATCTTATTTTCAACTTCCAATTTAATATTTATTTCTGGTCGAATCTATCTCTAATATAAAATTAAGAATTGGACTTAGATCTTTAATAAATATACTCGGATTTGCAGGGGTCTAGTTTGTATAATGATTTATAAAATTCAGCCAGGCCAAATGACTTTTATTCTTTGGAATATTATTTTAAATATGTCATTATATATTATGAAGTTATTATAAGCTTGATAAAAATTTGAGTTCTTTTTAAAATTATCATTTTATCTATAGGCTCTTTGAGCGCAAACGCCCAATTTTTGCCTACTATCAAACGAAAAATGGTCGAAATCCCTCTAGAAATTGAACGAATATCTCACGATTCTGATTATTGCGTCCTCTTTATGCCAAAGTTACCAGGTTTTATGACTGTTCTTTCTAAAATATTTATTATTTATATGCTACAATCTCCATACATATTATCATTCAAAATTTGTTCTAATCGATATATTGATATCGCTATAATAATTATTACATATATGATACATAAATGATTTTACAAGTTATTTATATCAACCATATTTATCAAAATACTAGGTGACTATTTCATTCACCTAAAATGGAATGGCTATTCGCTACCCAAATCTCCTTTCATAGGAAAATATCTTGAAACTTTGCCGGACAAAGTGGACAAGATGACAAAATCAATCGAATATTCTAATGCTACGAGTATTGATGAAACAAAGAATTATAGTGTTAATTGTGACGATAAAACTATTTATAACGCCCTCAAAAAAATACTATCAAAAAATTATAACTCCTCACCGCTCATCAAAATTGACGGAACGGTAGAGACCTTCATCATGGCTGGACAGAAATACGAATTTACCCTGGATATTACGTTATTATTACAGAGTAGTTTATAAAGAATTTTTACTATTAATTGATTTTTAAAAATATTGTATAATTGAGTGAGGGAACTCATTTTGTCAGGCGCGTACGCAGTGGGACAAATCCCCCCCCCCCCCCCCAAGCCAAAAAATGCAGATGCCGGATTATATTTTTCAAAAATATTATTGTTAATATTAATATATATTTGTTAATATTTATTCCTATCTCATATATATTTAATTACATTTATTTATCACATTCATCTAATAAGTTATTTTATCAATTAATTTCGATTTCAAGTTTTCCTTGGCATAATTTACCTATTATTTTCAAATTTTAGTGGCGTATTATTTATCTAAATTTCTAGTCAAATAATAATTATCTCTGAAACTCCTTGTCCAACAGGGTGAAAGAAATTGCAAGCTTGTCCAACGAGATCGAGTCTCCACCATCAAGCAGTAACAGCTTTTATGGAGTTAGAAGAGCCGATTATTAATGCTATTACTGAAATATCACAATGGCTTGAAAGTAATGTTTCCTCAGAAGCTAGAAAATTATTGGATTCAATACTTATTCCAAATTTTTTTTCTCATTAGAATGTATTATTTAATTATACAACTATTTTATATAATACTTTTCAAAAACATGACATTGACTTGATTAAGAAGATGAGAATAGCGAAGAGCATTTTATTATAACTAATGGAAATTAGAGCTAATGTTGATGAAGAATTTCATATTTTATATGTTATTGTTGAGTCAAAAGCAGAGCTCTACATGTTTAATATTTGCCCCCCTCGACTTGTAGCAAGCACAAATGCCCCCTCTCTTAGATACATTTATAACACAAATAAATGAATGGTTTTTAATTCATCATGCAGCACTTACAAATCCGTAGATATTACTTCCACAAAAGCCTTTCCAACCTTTTTCAGATGGTGATAGAAAAAAAATATATTTGTTAGATTTTTATCATTAAGATGTTAAAATATCTTATGATGCCTAATTAGCTGAATAACTATGATTAAAAGATTAACTATGGTTGATACAGTCCCAAAAAATGCCATGGATGCTTTGCATTATTTCAAACACATTTTAGATTATATTCCCAATGTATTAAAATTGTTATATATATATTAGAAACTCTTCCCATTAGTAAACTAATGAGAAAACATTCTCTTTTTTAGGAAGAATAACAATTTGCAGGGCACGGCCCAGATTTTTTTTTAAAATTTTTTTCGGCCCGGATTTTTTTAAAAATATTTTCAGGCCCAGTCCGGGTGTTTTTTTAAAAAAAATTTTGGGCCCGGCCCGGGTATGTTTAAAAAAATTAAAATACGGTCTGGCTTGGGGGCCGGGCCTGCAAGTCTCTGAAAAACATACCTATGAAATACAACTTCTGAGAGTAGATTGTATGATTTGGATCTTTTGAATATTCATAGGCATTTAACGCCAAGCAAGGATAGATAATTGGAAAATTAACTCAAAACATACAAAATACAATTATTCCTAAGAAACTTTTTGTGTATTAATTTATATTTCCAACATTAAAATTTTTTATACTTTATATATTTTAAAGGCTCAAAAATTCAAATTTCAATTTTGGGTCATTTAAGTGATTCATATCATGGTTATATTCACTTTATATTTTATAATTCACATTTATTTTATAGTTTTTCAATGCCGGTTTTATTATCCCCCCCCTCCAGACCAAATTCCTGCGTACGCGCCTGCATTTTGTAATTTGTTTTCGCTTATACTTTTTTTTAATATTATATAAATGAAATCTCATAATTTCAATTAATTTTGTCTATAGGAAATAATAATTATTAAGAACTAAATCCATTGTTTAGACCACAACAAAGAAAGGTAAACGTCCATTTAATTTGAGCAAAACTTATTTTTTTTTATTTAGCACGCCGCTCGCTTAAATAATAGGTGTGAGTGACACGACAGTAATAATTTTTACTTTTTAAGGAACATATATTTCTATTTTTTTGTTTTTTTCTTAGAAATTAAAAAAGAAATTGACATCAGTGATAAATTATCACCTGGCGATCCAAATCTCGCATTTCAACCTGTCTTCAAGTTTTTACCTCAAAATATGTCTATCGATAAATCAGAAGATATTAAATACTTCGATATTAGCGTCAAACAAATCTCTCCTTGTCTTTTTACCTACACGTTTATTATCGACACTATAGGTAAAACTTTCATTTACCACAAATTAATTTTTTCTTTAGGGATTGAGGTGATATTAAATTTTAAAAAATTAACCTATCCTAATAATAAATATTTACAAATTAACCTTATCATAAAAATATAATAATTGTAAAAGGGACCAATCTCAAACCCTGAAAAATAAAATATAAGGAATATTTTCTATTGTTAATAAATAATCCATAAAAAGCAAAAGTATTATGATATCAACTTACTCTTTCTCTTATATTGTAAAAAAATGTACATTATATTTTATATTAGAATTATAAAAGAATAGAATATTCTCAATTATAGGATGATTTTGCTACCGTGGGATTAAAATGAGTCATGTTGATATACTGTTCTACTTCTATGAATTTTTCATAATATATAGTTTTTTTTAAATCATACTTGTTTTTTAATGTGATAATATTTTTTTCTTTTGATATAAATTAAATATATACTTTATAAGTTACATAAAATTTACTGTAAGAAAAACATTTAAATTATAATGAATAATAACTTATATTTTTATCATTCAGGCGAATATCAGATTTACCTGGGCTACCAAAGTCTCGAATCAATTGTTGGCAATGACTTATCAAAATTTTTGCACATCCTAGCCTCACCTTACAATCTCTCATGTCACTTCTACGAAAGACCTACCTCTACATTACCATCAAATGGCTCCGCTTCGCTTAATTTGAAGCAAGACAATATATACGATAATTACACGATCACCAAAAATGATTTCAAAAGAAATAATGACCATAAATATAAGAGAGAAACGGTAAATTTAGGTGCCGATTTGAACGAAGACCGTCCAATCCAAGAGTATCAGGAGATCAAATCTAGCACGAGTTATTAATTATCCTTTTTTTACACATGCAAATATAGGAATTTTCAAAAGTAATCGTTTTTGAATTTTTTTAATCTCGATTAATCAGTGAAAAAGAAAGACTTTTGTTTAATATTAAAGTCCAAAGTTAGTTTTACTTACCATGGATTTAGATATCATTAAGGATATCATTTGACAAAAAGATTATCGATTTGTTTTATTTTAGCATTAAATTGAAATTTATTTTGAAAATTTAAAACAAAACTCCAACGATTTTTTTAAATTTAATTTATTTTTGTTTCACATGCCTATATTTCTTTAAATGTAACTAATATTTTTTTCAACATTTTATTTTCATCATCATATAAAATCATATCTAATTTTAGTTTTTTTCATAAATATATGATAAAAATACAATTTATATGAATTATAGAAATATCTCCCAAGCCTAAAAACACATGTGATATCTTAAACACATCTAACGCCTCTAGGGTTAAGTTGTATGGTCCTGGTATTAAAAGCGGGGTTTTAGCCAATTTTCAAAGTCATTTCTCTATCGACACTAAAGGAGCTTGTGCTGGACAACTAACTGTTAAAATAAGGGGACCCAAAAGTAAAATTCAAGACATATTATATATGCTTATTTACAATTTCTTATGTTGAAATTAATTTAAATTAGACTAGAATTGACAATAAATTAGAGTTTCCAAATAGAATAGATAAATATCTCAATTCTTATATTAGGTGCGTTTCACGTTCACATGAAACGGGATGCTGTAAGGGACAGGTTAATTCACTGTAATTACGATCCGACGGAAGTGGGTGATTATAATATACACGTAACTTGGTCTGGTAATCACGTGCTGGGCTCCCCTTTCAACGTCGTCATTTACGATACCCTGCAAGAACTCAAAGAAAATTCTGAAACTAAATTTGAACTTAGCGGGAATGACCACGATTCAATTAGGGCTACCGAAGACAGTATTACCCATGGGGATTGTTTGGTCGATTGCCACAACTTGGAACACTACATATACGAAACCTTTCGAGATAATAAAGGTTATACTGATATCGGAAAGTCGAAAGGTTTGGCAAATGGCAGAAAGGAAATCACTAATAGTTTAAGGAGTTACGACGAAAAAAAGGATATTTCTGCTGCTTCCAGTTTGACCGCAAGCGATAAATTAAGCCTCGATGGATCCTATCATAATGATAACACTATCGGGGGCTTTCATAAACTATCCTATGAAGAATGGAGAAAAATGCATTAATGACTTTTGAATTGATTAAACTATTATATTATTATAAATTCAAGATAATTAAGTATTGCTAGGAATATTAAATCGGTCAAGGTGCTAAAATTTGTGAGATTAATTTTTATTACTAATTAAAAATCATGTTTTTTTTAGTCTTGCTAAGGCTCTAATACGAAACACATTATTTTAACTTACTTAATTAGAATCTTAGGTATTATTTATTAATTTTATATTTCTCCAATCATAACATAATAGTATTATTATTTATATTTTTTTACCGCACAATCGCATTTATAAAAAAAATTATACGAAAGTTTGCTTTTACACCTTTTAATGGTGTGATAAATTCATATTTTAAATTAATTATTTATATCTAATTTAGATATTTTTTTAATATATAATGATATTAGTAATTATATTATATTTAGCACAATGTCATTTACAAATAAATATCAATAATAAATTGATAAAATCTTATTTTTACAATGTCTTTTTTAAATTAAACTTATATTAATCTTAGCAAAGTAAGAATAATAATAACTAGGAAATTTTTTGAAATCTAATATCTGGTTTGGCCCAGTATCGTCATGGAAAGGACAAAGGTGCTCAACTCTACTAAAAAAAACCCTGGAGAAACATCTGTATTATTTATTATTTTAGTAATTTTTTTTATTAGGTTTAGTTAGTTCTCTCAACTTCAAATTGAAAACGCAAAGGCTCCACTGAACTGACTCTAACTTTATGAAGACTTATTAATTTAATAAAGTTCAAATAAAATATATAAACGTAATGTTATATTTTAAACATATTGATTAAATATTTTAAATTCTCGATTCCGAGAGTAATTTGGCATCACAACTCTAACTTTACACCCCCCCCCCCCAATTTTTGTAAATTATATGGTTATGAAGAATTTTTTGGCGAATTTTTAAAACCTCTAGTAAATTTTAATCAATATAAATAATGGAATATCAATATAAAATCCAAAATTGGCCGGTAATAATTTTTTATAACTAATTTTATTAAATTGGTTAGTTGTTGTTAAACTGCTCGATTTGAGCCAATTCTTAAAAACGGCTAACTCAATATTTTATCTAGAAAAAATATTACGCAAGTCTTATGATTTTGCTCATAGATGGCTCAAAGGTTTGGACATCTATTATCGAAATTCCGAGGCTTAGGCAGTATTTTTGTTAACATTTTTACTGTGGCTACGTTATCTAAATTGTAAATGCCTAGGTAAACCTAAACTGCAAATTATGTAGGTAAACATGATATATATACTCTATTAGTTAAATTCTAATTTCTCTTATACACGAACAAGTCATTAAATTTAATTTACTAGGTATATTTAATAATGAAATAATATAATTTAATAATTTTATTTCATTTAAATTTTTTACGATTAATAATGGGGAAAAAATATGCTTTAAAAAGACTAGAAAAAAAATATATATCGGCAAATCTAAAATAATGGGGGGGGGGGGGGGGTGAAATATGCAAAGTCTGGAAAAAAAATATATACTGGCAAATTTAAAATATTGAATAATAGATATACTACCAGGCGCGTACGCGGCAAGGAAACAAATCTACCCCCCCCCCCCCCCCCAAAAAAAAGCCATTAATGCAGATGCCGGATATATTTTTCAAAAATATTATTGTTTATAAATTATATTTGTTAATATTTATTCCTATCTCATATTAAATATATATTTAATTACATTTATTTATCACATTCATCGACTAAGTTATTTTATCTAATTTCGCTTTCAAGTTTTCCTTGGCGTAATATTTACCTATTATTTTAAAATTTCTAGTGGCGTAATATTTATCTACCATTTTCAAATTTCTAGTCAAATATTAACTATTTCTGAAACTCCTTGTTCAACAGGGAGAAAGAAATTGCAAGTTTGTTTAACGAGATGGAGTCTCAGCCATCAAGCAGTAACTGCTTTTATGGAGTTAGAAGGGCCGATTATTAAGGCTATTACTGAAAAAAAATATTTCCTCAGAAGCAAGGAAATTATTGGATTCAATACTTATTCCAAAATTTTTTTCTCATTAGAATGCATTGTTTAATTATACAACTATTTTATATAATAGTTTTCAAAAACATGACATTGACTTGATTAAGAAGACGAAAATAGCGGAGAGCATTTTATTAGAACTCAAGGAAATCATGGCTAATGTTGATGAAAAATTTCATATTTTATATGTTATTGTTGAGTCAAAAGTAGAGCAATACGTGTTTAATATTTGTCTCCTCGACTTGCAGCAAGGCAAGCTCATCGGCAAAATATTAATATTCGATCAGTAGAAAATTAATATAAAACAAATGTTCCCTCTCTTAGATACATTTATAACCCAAATAAATGAATGATTTTTAATTCATCATGCAGCACTTACCAATCTCCAAAAATTACTTTCACAAAAGACTTCCCAGATGGTGATAGAAAAAATATATTTGTTGGATTTTTATCATGAATAAAGTATCTTATGATTCCTTATTAGCTGAATATTTAAAAGATTAACTATGGTTGATATAGTCCCAAAGATTATATTTTCCATGTATTAAAATAGTTATATATATATTAGCAACTCTTCCCATTAGTAAACTATGAGAGAACGTTCTCTTTTTTAAGAAAAATAACAGAGTCCTGCAGTGGTACCATTTATCGGGGTTTTTTTTTTTTAAAAATTCAGGCCCGGCCCAGCTTTTTTTAAAAATAAAATTTTAAGGCCCTGCCTGGATTTTTTTAAAATAAATTATATTTACTTTTGATTTTTATAGCCAATAATGACGATTTCAAATATTTGGTTTTAAAATATATAACCTGGCCTGGATATTTTTTTTAAAAAAATTTTCAGGCCCGGCCCAGGTATATTGAAAAAAATTAAAATACGATCCGGCCCAGGGGCCTGACCTGCTAAAAACATACCTAAGAAGTAAAACTTCTGAAAGTAGATTGAATGGTTTGGATCTTTGAATATTCATAGGCATTTGACGCCAAGCAAGGATGAGATAATTGAAAAATTAGCTCAATCCCAATGAAGATTGGATTTTACATTTTAAATATATAACATACAAAATACAGTTATTCCTAAGAAACTTTTTGTATATTAATTTATATTTCTAACATTTAAATTTTAATAATATATAAAATAAATTTTAAAGGCTCAAAAAATTCAAATCTCTATTTTGGGTCATTTAAGTGATTCATATGGTGGTTATAATCACTTTATATTTTAGAATTTACATTTATTTTATAGTTATTCATATGCCGCCAGTTATATCCGTTTAATATTTTTTAATGCACATAATTTAAAATTGTGTATTAGATATAGTTATTAATCCTAATAAATTTATGCTTTATATTTTTAAATAACAATAATATTTCTTAAAAAATTTTATTATCCCCCCCCCCCCAGACCAAATTCCTGCGTACGCTCCTGTATATTACTGAAAAATATTTTGAACCATAAGATACTGACATGTTATTATTATTTACAGTGTTGTGCAGATTTAATTTAAAACATTTCTATATTTATTAATTTATTTGAAAATAATCTTATCAATTTTTACAAGTTAATACAAACAAATTAAAAATATGGAAATGTTTTAAATTAAATCTGCACAACACTGTATACTGGTAAAATTAATAAAATACTCACAATTTTATTATTATACTGAATATATTTTTACAGGTTGGAGAAATAAACCACAGCTTTTTCTTAAATGTGTATAAATTAGAGATCTGCAAAAGTAGGCCCGGCCCGTACCCTGCCCGAACCCGGCCCGGCCCGAACGGGCTTCGGGCCGGGTTTGGGCCTACTTTAAAAAAAAAATTAGGGTTCGGGTTGGGTCGGGCCTAATATTTTTTAAAAAAATTCGGGCCGGGTCGGGCCGGGCCTTAAAATATTTTTAATATTGGCACTAATATTTTTTGTAAAATAAAAATATTTAATTTTATTTGAAGAAGCTAGACGCCATATGATGGCATGTATCTTTTATTCTTGGTATAAATATATAATTAAACTTTTTTTTAAGAAACAAGGCGGCAACATTTTTTATTTGTAAAATATAAATATTTAATTTTATTTATTTAGAAAGTAGACGCCATATGTCATATATATTTTATTATGGGTAAAATAATTTAAATGTTTTTTTATAAAACTTAAATTTTAAATATAATTTTAAAATGAATTTATATTTTTTAAAAAAACAAATACAAAATGGAACATATATTTGTTTGCCCCATTTAGGTAAAAGCAATATATGGGAAAATTTTGAAGACATATTTGATGATAAAAACAAAAAACTTGATTACGTCCAGTGTAAAAAATGTAATAGTATATTACAATATAAAAGCACATCTGGAAATTCTCATTTAAGACGTCACAAGTGCGTTAAGAATGACGATTCCTCTATTCCTAAAATAACTAGGTATATTCAAAAGAAAATAGATCTAAATTCTTCCTTAACTATTAAAAAGAAACTATGTGATACCTTGATCTATTATTGCGCCAAGGACATGCGTGCCTTTGATTCGATAACTGGAGATGGCTTTATAAAAATGGCTCAAAATTTTATTCAAATTGGCTCCATTTACGGTAATATTGACTGTAGCGAAATTATTCCCCATCCAACTACTTTATCGAGAAATGCTATAGTTATGACGGATCAAATTAGAACAAATTTGGTTAATAAAATAAATGTTCAATTATTTGATAAAAAATGCTCTGCTACAACAGACATGTGGACAGATTCTTTTAAAAAGTTTTCCTATTTAACTGTTTCAATTCATTATATCGAAGGTGAAACCTTATATAAACATGTTTTATTTACGAATAAGTTTAAAGAAGAGAAAAAAACCGCCGCGAACATACATAAGGAAATGCTACAAAATTTTGCTGCAATTGGAATAATTCCCGATCAAGTGAAAAATATAATATTTATATCTGATCAAGGAGCTAATATAATTAAAGCCCTAGAAAAATACACCAGATTAAATTGCAGCGCACATCTATTAAATACTGTTCTTCGAAATACCTTTAAGGAACAATCTTTGAAAATTATCGCTCCTAATATATATCAAACCCTTATTTCTGCTAAAAAATTAACCATGTATTTTAAACAAACCGGCATGAATCAATATTTAGACAAAACATTACAACAAGATATCGAAACTAGA